AAAGTTTACCATGTACATCAATGTTAGTTCCAATATAACAAAAATATTTTGTTCCTCTAATTACCAGACAGCAAGTATATTTCCTATGTTTTTGATTAATATCATATAATGACATCTTATATTGGTAGTCTCCTACAAAAATCTCCAGTGTACATTACTACCAGCTACTAATATTCTTAATAGGTAGCATCACTCTCATCATATTTCATTCCAAAAATAAAACTAGTGAATGAAATTGTTTGAAATTTGACAAGAACTTTCCTAAAATTATATAGTTTCAAAAAAATAAAACATTTAACTTTGATTTCTTGTACTATTTCTTATAAAAACACTTATAAAAAGCACTCAACATTTATGAGGTCTATAAGTATCAGTTTATTAGATCACACATGTTAAGATAATTTTTAGTTAGGTAGGACTTGCAAAACATTTTTATAGCAAACATTTTAGATGACTAATATGTAAATTATTAGAATAACCATCAGTTATAATGATGTAGCAAATTAATTAAAAATAGAATCTTATAAACAATCATAAAATCACACATTTGGTTTAATTGGTTCATACTAAATGCTCAGTTTTTCAATCAATGAAGATTAACTGAATCACTAATTTAAAATAAACCACCCATTCATCTTGCAATCACCACACACTTACTTTAAGAATACACATGCACATTGTCATCTTAAAGAAACTATCAGTGGGATAAAATGACTATGGACTTAGTAAAGTAGAGCTAACAAATTTGTCTTTTGAATGAAAATAAACTATTTGAAAATGACCTTTGTTCCCTTACATTGGGTGATTACTAGTTTAAACAAGCAGAATTTTATACCTATAAAAGGGACTGCATGATATTTTGGTCAGCAAAGAAAACAAAACTGTCATATACAAAAATCCAGGCAAGGCACCTATCTAGCAAAGAGTATTATATTCCTGAAGGAATAAGTATTCAGCCAATTTTAATCCACCCGTTTCAATATGGTATAATCAGCAGGGATGGTTCAAGAGTTTTGTTCACACAGCATGTGTTATATGGTTTCCTGTATATTCCTGTCATGCTGAAAATGACATCAAGAGATCATCATACAAACCCATTCTTGGAGATCTGTATGATACAACAGAAGTTACAGATGAAACATCTATTTCTGTATGCTTAAATGTGGTAACATTATGATATCTATTGTATTTTTTTTTTAATTTATGAAAAAAAATAGTTAACATTTTACAAGTCCTATTTCAATCAATTTACACATCACATATTATTTATCTTTTATATAAATTTATATACTTGTGCACATCTGTTGAAAATACAAAAAGTCAGTTTTTATGATTCTCTTTTACATGCCAATAATCATAAAGATAGCAAAGGAATTTGACTTAACACATCAGTACAATGAAGCTTTTTATTCATTCCATTTAAAACTTGAAAATATTTAAATTGAAAAAATTGTTTCAAATAAAAATCACGATTAAATCTCTTTCAGGCTATGTATATATGCCTGGCCAAATTAATAGAAACACCAACATTAGTCTCCTAATTGCACTATGCACATTCATGACACCCTGAATAAGTTGTGGCATGTATTCTACAAGTCCGTTGTTGGATGTTTCCATATTATTTTGAAACTGGAATGGAACAAAGAGGAAGCTGTGCCAGCCTAAATTAGTAGATACACAAAAGTATAAAAGTCCATTTTTTGATTTTGAACAAATGTATAAAGCCATGAGATTCCGAAGTGGACAAATTTTACTATGAGTATGAATGGTAAGATGTTAAAATCGATTTTGTATGCAAAATCAAATTTAATGTTCTTGGAAGTTTGAGAGAATCATACAACAAAGTCTTAGGATAAGATTTTAACAGTGTCTAATTTTGTGAGTTAATAGACACAAAGAGATAAAAATAAGTGCCTACGAAAACAAGAATAGAAATTAACAATTAAATATTAGTACTACTAGTACTAGTGATAGACCCACTAACTCTTGCACTTACAAGTTTCAGTGTGAATCATTTATCAATTAAAGGTAACATACTGTTGCGTCATCGAGGTCACGTGACTGGTGTGGCGCCCTCTATTTTCTAGAACTATCCTGTACTT